TTGGCAAGATGATGGCAACCGAGGTCATCCACCTTCCGCTGGCTCTGGGTTTCATTCTCTTCGCGTCTCAACATGGCCGCTGATCAAGCTGCTCATCTGACTGCTGCTGGACCGGATTGGGAAGATCTGCCGGCAGCAGCACAAATGGCCACAAGTGTTGTTTGCACTGCCTGCTGCTTTTGACTGGTTGTTGAAGTGGACTTGCGCTCAGTGCTAACATGCCGTGATCACAGCTATCAAGATGAAAACAGAACCTATTCAAGTAGGGGAAGGCAGTCCAATGCACATCGAGGGTAGTGCAGTGCAAGTTCATGCTCCACTCATGAGTTGCTTCTGCTTCCCCAGCCTGTAGAGTGGCTCGCTTGCCAAGCTAAGCAGTAGTGACCGTGATTGTTTTGTCCTGGCGGCACATCTACTGTAATTCGCTGGCAGCTGGACTGCTCTCATTCTGAACGGAGATGTTCTTGAGTCCAATGTAGCATCATGGAGGACAAGGCGGCCGTTTCAACATGTGACAGCCGTGGCAGAATCGCATGGGCACTGCCTTGCTTTGCCTTGCTTTGTAGCGCGAGGCGGAAGCCGAAATGGCGGCCGCACTTCAGGCTTGACTGGGGTATCTCTAAGGTCCTGATGGCATATGGCTTTCAGGGAAAACATGGGGCAGTAGTAGCAAGGCAGCAACTTCAAGTGAGGCCTTGCAAGGGTGTCAGGAGGCTGGGATGGTTAAAAGTGAGGTGGCCGTTTTATGATGCTTGTAGGGGTCAGTCCGTGCTCTGCGCTATTTGAGCTATGCGCAGAAGATGTTTTCAGTGCACAGAGTACCGCAGTTGCCAAGCATGCATGGGCCTCGAGAGCGAACTCTGAGCTATTCTGGCGCCAACTTGGGGCGGGTTCCCTCGATAGTCCTCGGCTGCTTTGCAAGCTTGTCCACTGTAGCTCACAAACTCATCAAACTCCGACACCCTCAACGCCTGCATCCGCACAAACCAGCAACCTTTCGTCACCTTCGTCATTCTAAGGGTAACCAGGGAGAACTCGATTCGACTGATCTGAGTACTTTTACTTACTCTTACTCCAGCGACTCTGAGCTCACGAGGCTCAGATTCGAACCTTGGAGCAGGCGGAGCTTTCCCAGATGCGACAAGGACTGCCGTGCCCATTCGTGCATTGATACTTGTAACGGCACTGCAGTCAACCTGAGATTTTCGGTAGCAAGCTTCTGGGAACCAGGCTCCATTGCCTTAGAGACCCCCTTCCCAAGCCCCGAGTCCCGAGGGGTGGTGCTCCAGCGCCGCCTGGATGAGGCGCAGCGGCAGCTGCAGGAACTCACGCAGGGCGCCAAGGCACGCGTCACAAATCGTGGCCAGCAAAGTTAGCCGCTCAAACTCCGAAAGCATGAACAAGCAGCAAACCTCGATACTTCTCGTCGAATTTCACCCAGCACCTTCAGGCGCAACGGCGAGCAGAGGTTCAGAACCTCCAAGCCGAAGAAGCCAAGGCTTCGAGTGAGAGCGACGGTTTGGGCTTCGGATGGTTCAGGGGAACGTGCTTACGTCAGACACGCGGGGAGGGGAGGCTGCAAAAACGAACCCACACGGGTCTTTTGCATGACGCCCGTCGAGAGGGGGATAATTCGCGGGGTTTTGTTGAACCCCCGCAGTCTTCCCATCATCTGAGCCGTGTTTTTGCTTTCTTGCGGTCGTCGTGTGCCGGGACGTAGACATGGAAAAAGCACTGTGGACGGCTTGCGAGTAAGAGACCTGGCAGTACGCTCAGAAGGTGTGCGGAAGCAGCTGTTGCGAGAGAAACATAGCAAGGACTGGCCGTTTGCCCCAACCCAATGCGACCCAACGCGGACGACTTGATGACAGCTTCGCAGAAGCTCCCTGGAAGGGTCCGCGGAAGCGAAAGCGAAGTCCGCCCGGAATGGAGAGTTTCTTCGCAGAAGCTCTGCGGAAGCCCGCGGGCTTCCGAGTTTTGGTGCATTCTGCCGAGCTGGTCGGCTGATTGAGGCTATGCTGTACTTTTCTACGGGGGTGCGGCCCCTTAACTTCGTTTCCTTCGGAGGATGCCGCTGCCGGCTTAAGCCGCAAAATTGTCTAGCAAGAAGGCTCTATACTAAACAATGTAGACCTTTATAAATCCCCCCTGAGAGGAAAGCCTCAGCATCCTACATAAGTTACATGAGCCGAAAATGCCTAAATTCAGAGTTCTGGTCGATCTCTAGAAGGGCAGCAAGCTGGAAGGCTGCAGCCAGCCTGGAGCACGAGCTCCAGCTGCAGTGCGGTGCTAAGGAGGCACCGAATTGTTTCTTGCACAATTTTGCCAGCCTAAAACCAAGACTGCTCGATGAACCAGTATGCCGTTTCAAGATCTGAGACGCTTGGGGCCGAGGCTGGAAGTAATGCTCCATCGCGAAAAGGAGGCCTTGGCTTTTCAAGGTCCTGTAGCAGGTGTCGTAGAGGAAGAGATGCAGTGGGACGCCCGCGAGGCAGAGGCAGTGCAGCGCACAGAGGCGGCGCGCACCCAGCGTCTTGAAGAGGAGGCAGCGGAGCATGGCGGGAGCCCCCCGTGAAAATCATGCCTGGCAAAACTTGCGCGTATGTGCGCGGTTTCAAGGACACGGCATGGTTTCGAGGACCACAGTACTCCCCTGAGAGAGAGAGTGTTGCAACTTCAGGCCTCAATGTGAGGGTCGCTATGAGGCTATGACAAACAATCAAACGTCACACTTTTGTCGACGGATTCGATGCAGTACAGCTCCAGCTATGTCGTCCCTTGAGCTCCTCATCCACAACTAGAAAAAGCCTGAGCGTGGTTGTGCAGATGGCAGGTGCACTACTGGAAGAGCTGTGGGCTCATCCTGCGACGGAAGCAGTGCAAGACACTTAGAAGCAGTTTCCGGATTTTCCAGAGATTGCAGAAAAAATAGCTTTCCCCGCAGCAGCCCGCAACTTCTGCTTGATACTGTGTGTACAGGTGGTGTGGATGCACCTGCACCGGAGGCAGTTACGGCCGGCAATTGCATTCTTTCTTGTTTTGGAGAATTAGGACGGCTTTCCTAGCAGGTGAGTCAAGAGGTCGTGATGGAGATGGAGGCGCTCGTCATTTGAACTGCCGTTGAAACTTGAAGCTTTTGCTTTTGATTGGCCGTTTAGCTACCTGCTTCAGGGCCCCCCAAGATCTGTAAGTGCCTGAACAGCATCCCAGATTCCTCGCCCTCAGTAGGTGGATCGCAACACGATGTCTTACGAACTGTACATCATGCCGCATCATGTTCTTGCCAAGGCGCTCCGAACGCAAGCCAAAGAGCTCCGGAGCCAGATCAAGGTGAGATCATTGTAACATATTGTAAGTAATCCATTTGGGGTTGTCCGATAACAGGGGTGCCCTGGGGAGTGTATTCTATTTTGGGGGTAAAAAGGGCGGTACCCCAATTATCGGATGATCGTAAGTACTCCATTGCTGAGACGTCATTGGCTTTAGCTCATGCCTCTTCACTCATCTGTACATTGCTTCAACCATTCGATGCTTCGATTTCCGTGCCTTCAGGGTAGCGCTTTCAACATCGGCCTGCAAAGCTGTTGGGAAGCAAAATAAAAACAGCACATACTGTTTTTTAAACATGTTTGTCACTGATTTCAACTGGCCACACTACCTCTCTGACCTCAACGGCAATGACGAGTGACAGCAGCAGCCGCCGCCGTACTAGAACTATGCAGCAAAATCGGACATCCCCTCTTTTCTGCCACGTTGGAAATCAAGAACAGTGTTCGGTGCTTCCCCATCATTTTCGGACATTTCTGATCGTGATTTTCTCATGGTCCTGAACCGACGAACGCAACCTTTGCCAAAGCATCCGCCATCACTTGCTTGGGCTTTCATTCACAGTTTACGCGTGACTCTGCGTAGCTGCTTGGACGGGCTTCTCCACGAAGCATGTCTGCTACGATTCCAATGCCTTTCCACATCTTTCCACCATTGCTTGCACACCAGGTCGAACACCACGTGAAGCTGTGCGCTCCTTTCCACCCCCTTCGCCCGCACAGGAGATCGAACGCCTGGCAGCATCGGGTCGCGCCCAAGAGGCGCCCTGGGCAAGGTTCTTCTGCCGCCCTCAAAACAGAATCTGCTTGACTATGCAAGTACGGCAAGCATGGCGGCTGGGATTTGCTGGAGAAAGCGGTTGCTTGACAAATTTGTCTGTGCAGTCTCCACGTCTCTGAAAACAATGCGGTTCTTGTTTGCTAACAATGGTGCTTCTCTTATCCTTTCAAGATTAGAACAATGGTGCTTCTGCTTCCTTTCAAAGGAAGCATGTCTCCCACCAACTGCTGTTTGCAGTTCTCTCAAGTACAGGCCGAGTACAGGTGTCAGTCCATGCGCTCACTGTTTTCGTTCGTATTCAAAGAACTAATACTACCAGGAACACAGGCACAGCTCTGGATGACGGAGCGCTTCGAGTGTGAGCTCTGTACTGCACACTGACGATTTGTCGAACTTGCCCCTCTTGTCAATCTTTTTGCAGGTAGATCTGATAGCGAAGAACCAGTCGCTGGCTCACAGCAACTTGGCTGCCAGCCTCAAGTTGTGTTACTGACAGAGTGCACTCTCAGATGGCAGGGAACACCAGTGAAGCACCACGTGTGGGTGAGCGAGACATTCCACAACCACATTCCTGCCATGCTCAAAATCGTGCAAATCATGCTGGTGGCTTGCAACGCTTCAAGGCATCGCGCTTGCACAATCTGCAGCCAAAGGATCCCGCGAAAAGGCAGTGGACCTTGGGCCTGTGAAGTGACGCGTCAACTTTGCAAAATTTGCTGAGACTCGCAGGCAGCGTGCCTTCAGTCGGAGCTGCAGCATGAGCAGGCTCGGAAAGACCCATTCGCGATTCTGGGCTAGCTATGGGTCTCTTCACGCATTGGCTCCCATTGTGCCTTATGCGCAAAAGATTAAGAAGCTTGGTAGCACTGTGTACGCTCATGTGGTAGCTGTCGCATCCCCCTCTTTGCTTTCGTTGAAGGCGAAGTCTCTGCTAGACCCACCAATTTCAGGGGTGAGCCTGTGCCTCAGAATTTCAATACGGCTCTAAACCAGCCATGTCACAGCTCGCTGATCACACTGCCTCATGCTTCGGAGAGTCTGACACGAAGAGACCGAAGTCTCCATTTGCGTGTGAGGGCATGAGGAGGTCGAGGAGGGACTCGGCATAGAAGAGGTGGAGTACTGGAGGCGACCCCCGCCCTTGATCATGCCAGTCACTGCCAGTCTGTGCCAGAGGTGTTTGTGATGTTGTCTCCTGGTTGATGTCGCCATGCGAACCCCCCCCCCATGTGTTCTGTGTGTGCATAGGTCGTTGGCAAGGCTTCTAGGACACCATGAAGGGTACTCTTCGCCCTTGGTTGGCCTCAGCCTGAAGCCAGCATGACCCCTCCGCTCTCTGCCGAGGTTTAGGTCTAGGTTTAGGTCTAGGTTTAGGTCTAGGCTTAGGTCTAGGTCTAGGTCTAGGTTTACGTCTAGGTTGAGGTCTCGGTTTAAAGGTCTAGGCTTAAAGGTCTGGTTTAGGGGTTTCGGCTCTGATAAGATTGTCCAGAGTCAAGACCCTACAGTCGCAATTTTTTCAAATTCTCGGGGACTGTGCTACTCAGCTCCTATCAGGACTTCGCACACACTAACCCCTTTGGTCCAGCAATCACCATGACCATGCGCCATGCAGAGCATGAAGTCCACCCTGAATGTGCGCAGCAGTTCAGCTCAGCTACGCGACGAATACGAGCGTCCATAGCCCGGACATGCCTCTAAGCCGTGAAGTCTACAGCCACCTGCCCCAAAGAAACCGCATCCGCCAGGCGGAAGGTGGAGGAGAAGAAGGCGGAGGCATCTTGAGCCGCACTGTCTCGAAGGGGCGTTTTGGGTGGCTGCGTTCGAACCGAGCTTCGGGTAGCAAGCCATGAAATGCCAGGAAATGCTCATGTGCGCAAGCCTGCGGTAAGACCTTGTGAGTCAGAACTGAATCATGGGATTCTCATTAAAGGTCAGGAACGGTCAAAATCGAAGGTCATGCTGAAGGGCGTTTGTAGGGACACGGCATCTTCCGGGAACTGGCTATGAACGGCGATTTCAGGGATCTCTCCTCAGATTGTAGCCTACCGAACAGGTTTGGGTGCATCAAGTACATTAAAGCAAGACTCAAGATGTCAGCCCAAGAACCACGAGTTCCTGTGGCAGAGGTCGGCGTTCACTGGATTCACTCTGATAAAACTTGCTTAGGGGCTAGGGTGTGCTAAGCCAAGATCGTCCTCCACCGTGGTGAAGTGCGGTTTCTTTGCTCTAGCCCTTCATAAAGGGCAAAGTTCAGCTCGCTGCAGCTTCGAAAGCCCACCTGTGTCAGCCCAAAGCATCGCTCCGCCAGCTTGAACGGATCACGGCCGATCAGCATCGGCTGCGTGGGGGATTGCGCCGCTCAGCTTTGTCTTGGGGGAAGCGTGATGGGAAGCCACTGCCAGCCTTTGAGTTGAAGGTAGGCACCCCCCTAGACTCATGATCTTGGAGAGCTTTTCTCAAGTGGCTTGAGCTTTCTCGTGAAGTGTGAACTCCGGCTTTGAGGCTTAAGGCTTAAGTTCATGGTTTTTAAAGCCTTGGCCTCCAGCCAGCACTGCATGGTCCAGCTCTGTTCTCTCCGCCGGATCTGAGATATTGTGAGAGGTTTTGCCAACTCCTCCCTGTGCATCAGAAGACTTCGGAAGGTATTGCAAGCCCGAAGCCCGCAGGCCCTGTAAAGCATCCAGCTCCAACCCGGACCTGGACAGAGCCGAGAAAGGTCGATGCATGCCCAGTCGTTCCCGCACGCAAAAGGAATCGCGCCAACAGCTTGAACTCATGCTGAGGATCTGAAAGGGCTAGAAATGGCTAGAACTTGGGTGGTGCGCTGTCCGTGAATGGATGCCAGCCACTTGAGGCGATTCGTCGCCGAGCCTCGATGTCGGGGAGGCACTCTCGACGAGGTGTGGACGGGCTTCGCAGGGCTTAGCAGGCCATGCCGCTCCATAAGCTTGAGACTCCCTACACCTGGAGCTGTACCTTTGTAAGTCTTCCTGACTTCCTGACCTACATCTTGGATTGGGGAAAAGGGGGGCCAATTGAAGTCTAAAGTTGTAAAGGGTCTCAGGTCACCACAGAGCCGGGGCACGTCTTCTGCACTTGCGGCTCAAGTGCTTTGTGTTCTTCAAGTGTTGCCCCAGTGTTGAAAACAGATGTCGCATCCTCATCAGATGTGAAGTAAAGAGTTCCATAGTGATGCTTCTATGAACTACTCTGAACTACTTCGTTGTTGCATTGTTTCGCAGGGCAGGATGGTGCTGTAGCATTTGTGCCGCAGTCTGCGACTTTGCAGGTCATTGCAGGATGTCATGTCGGCAAAAGCAAGGATAAGCAAACTGAAACGTCCTCAGGGCTCATGGCGCCCAGTATTGCCCAGTTCAGCGTGCGATCACATGATCCGTTTCTTAATTTTGTGCCGACCCTTTGAGAGATGCGAGAGATGCGGTGCCCGGGCTTGATGCTTGCAGGCACTGTGGCTTCCTTGATGAGACGATCTCTTGGTTTGCCACGTCGCTAGGTCTGCACCGATTGATCTTCCGAGAGGTTACAGGGCCTACAGACTTATGGTTGTGCAAAACAGGCATTCTGGGGTCGAGCGCAGCCAGAACCGCTGCAGTGAGGCCATGAAAACTAAGCCACTTGAGCCCCTCGTAGGGTAGTTTGTTGCAGCGACTCCTGGTAGTCTCTTCCCAAAAGCCCTGAACCTGAGTACCATGCTCCAAGACTTGAGTGCAGAGTTTTGAAAGTTCAGGTCGCTCTTCAAATCGGCGTTGATGCGGCGAGCCTTTTGTGACGACCTTGGGGGACGATGTGCACCATTGAAACAAAAGGTCCTCGATGGTCGAGCTGTGTTGTGTTCCTTCCTTCGACGTCCCAGGTGTTCACCTCTTGGTGCTGTACAGTTGGATCGGCTTTCTCCTGTGGTGGATCTCCAGCAGAGCGCGCCATTGAATAAAAAAGCCTGACGTTGGGATCTGAGATGGCCGGACCTGCATCATGAGCAGGTGACATGTGCACACGTGGTTTGTTTTTGTTTTTTTGTTTCATCGCTCTCTCTCTCTCTCTCGTACATTGTCCTTGTATGTCTTCATGTATCTCCATGTGTCTTCAGTTTTCTGTACATTTTTTGTTTCGGTCCATCTCGCTCTCTCTCTCTCTCTCTCTCTCTCTCTGTCTCTGTCTCTGCATATCTTGTTTCTTCTTCATTTGCCGCTGCTGAACTCG